GTGTGTGTGTGTGTGTGAGGATATTCAACTGAAACCACTTAAATGTTAACATAAAATCCCACCTTTACAGATCAAATGTGCTAGAAATGTTACCTTTACCTAACGTCTGCACCACACACTGCGCACAGCCTCCGGTTTATTGAGCAAAGCTGGTAGCACACAGCTCTCAGATGGGAACCACGGGCCCGTATCCCTCCTCCACGCTCCAGACGATGCCGTTCTTCATGTAGAACTCGGCCCTGATGCAGGCGACGCGGGCGAACTGCCGCTCCGTCTGCAGCAGGCCGGCGGGGGAGCGGCGCCCGTACGCCGAGGAGGACAGAACCGGCACGACTCTGGAGACTTCCTGAGAGGAAAACAGGACACTTAAGATACAGTGGGGGAAATAAGTATTTGAGCCCTTGCTGATTTTGCAGGTTTGCCCACTTACAAAGAATGCAACGATCTATAACTTTAATCATATGTACATTCTAACAGTGAAAGACAGAATCCCAAAGAAAATTCCAGAAAATCACATCATATGAATTTATTAAAATTGATAACCATCTGATGAGGAAAAATAAGCATTCTTTGTAAGTGGGCAAACCTGCAAAATCAGCAAGGGCTCAAATACTTATTTCCCCCACTGTATCCTGTGTATGTATATTTAATCTTTTATACATGCTTGTCTTATTCCAGTTCTCTGTAAATGCAGTATAAAGATTATTTTATAACAGGGATAATACCTAACAAATAATAGTTACATGGATTTAATAATTAGCAGCAAAAATTAATCATCTTATAAAAGTAAAAGTGCTTATTTGTGCACATTTTGCTGTCTAATATCTCATTACAGTGCTGTTGATTAAACATCTGTCTTCCAGGTGTTGGAGGTAGAGATAAAAAACACACATTATAATGCATCATGCATCTTAAAGCTAACATGGAGCATTAGCATAACAGCAACTGTAGCAGAGCTAAGTAGCTTCACTGCTGAAACTCATCTGCTTTATTCCAAGTGGTGAACTATTTTTTCTAAGCTTGTGCCGTTTCTCTGCTGTGGTGGAAGGTTTTTCCTTCACAGGGAAACTGAGAAAACAGGAAAAAAAAATAGTTAGAGTGTAAACAGCGATGTACAAAATTATTGATCCTCCTCTTTGCTTCGATTTAGCCAGTTTGTTAGCATTTTTTTGATTAAGTGGTTTCCAAGGCTTTTCTAAATGTCAATGCTTTTCTTTAAACATTTCCAGTTCTTAGAAATGAGCATTTTTAGGATGACAGGTTTGTTAAGCCACTTAATCCTGACTCCAGCATCATTAGAGGATCCTAACTGAGAGGACACTGAAAGTAAAACAGATTTCTGGAGAACTGTTATCTAAAAAACTGAGCTCAGTGGGTCCAGAAGAAATGTGGAGAAACCGGAAAAGGTAACTTAAAGAAATCAGCAGAAAGTTTGTCTCTTTGGGATATTTCTAAGAATAAATACCAAATATTTGTTAACCCGATTCTTTAGTTGGAAACCTGAGAATAAACCAGAGTGGATCAAGAGTATAAAAATGACATTTATTGGGTCACAAACAGGCCAGGTCCTAATTCATGCAGAGGACAGGAATGTGCTAACAAATGGTGTGTGTGTGTGTGTGTGTGTGTGTGTTGACCTAAAGGTGGATCTAATGCAACATAGAGAGAAAAAGAGAGAAAAGAGAGTCTGTGGACACAGCCAGAGACTTTAACACAAAATATAGTTATAAAAGAAAATAAAACAATCAGTAATCTACATAGATCATGTGATAGCATAC